CAGCGATTTTCCTCAACGTGTTGTTATAAAATATTCCAAAGATGTGTTGATGCAACAAAAAATGAATACAAGCGCTGCAGGAACTGAAAGAAAGACGCAGCTTCCACACAGCAATCTAAGGCATTTATAAAGCGCCCACTCCAGAAGAATTGCTCTGAGGTGCTACAATTTGGATCCGTTGAATATTTTCTGGAACAGAAATGTCTTGACGTGTCATTTGAAAGAATCCAAAGTCTCAACATTTCTTATTGCTGCTGGCAGTTCGTTCCATAAAGATGGGTCTGAAACACTGTATAATGTTGGCATCCCTTCCTGTCCCTTCCCTTGTTCAAAATATCTAGGCCTAATAATACATGTCTGAATTATTATACAAATAGCCTACCTTGATTTTTATTTATATCTGTGGTTTTGTAAGCACAGTTCACCTTTCACCTCATGTGCAATTAGGAAACTGTCGAATTTGGCAGAAATTAGGCTAGAAATGTAGCATTCGCAGGCTTTTGATTCCAGTAGGGCCACAACTTTGGAACTGTTATCTGGGTTGCCAGGTATCTGGTGAATTTAGAGGCCTAAGATGCTTTATTTGGAACCCACTGCCAGTGATTCAGTTTTATTTTAGAAAAAAAGTGGCCTAGACAGAGGCCAAACAAAATGTCACAGCACTTTCTGAACTAGGCATAGGACTAAAAACCCAATCGGACTCTGGCTTGAGCTAGCTTAGGGCTATTCTAGTTGTGGCCTTCCTGACTGGCCTTGCTGCGGCCTGACCAAAACGGGAAAAAAACCGAAAAATTGTGGCCTTGTTGTACCCTGTCTCTGGCCTGTTTGTGGCCTATTTTTTAGAGTGGCCCCTAGGCAATTGCCTTGTTTGCCTAATGGTCAATCCGGCACTGACACACACACACACACACACACACACACACACACACACACACACACACACTACCGGGTGTGGGCGCTGAAACTTTCCGAAATCACAAAAGAGTTCCCCAATCGGGTGTATACTTCGTGACTTTGTTCCCGGTTACCGGGTCTGTGTACACTTCGTAAGAAAAAAAACCGTACAGTGCTTCGTTTTGGATGATGGATGTTTTGACTCCAACAGAGGTCAAGGTCAGATGGTGGGTACCTAAACATTTTACAGCAGCGTTAAAAGGTCAGATTTTAGTTTTGTTTTCATCTGAACTTGTGCAGGCTAGCGGCTTTGTATCGATGGGTCTTAATTCCAAATGGTAAGAAGGTACTAAATAACTGAAACGACTTCGGCATTGCCTTTAGTGTCAAATTAGTGGACCTGCGACCCTCAAGTGTGTGCCCATTGCCAGCACACACATACATACACACACACACACACACACACACACACACACACTCTCTCTCTCTCTCTCTCTCTCTCTCTCTCTCTCTCTCTCTCTCTCTCTCACACACACACACACACACACATACATTTTTTTACATTTTACTAACACACATACATATACACATAAATACAAACATACACATACACATATACACATACCCACATACGCACATACACACATACACACCTACACACGTACACACATGTACACATACACACACACACACACACACACACACACACCACACACACACACACACACACACACACACATGTACATACGCACAAATATAATCGAAATTGTCTAAGATGGCCATCTACTGTCCCGGAGAAAAGTGGACGCCTGGGACAGGTGACCTTCTTACACATTGTTGTTATTGAGCCGTTAAGGGGGCTCCAGTGGCTAAGTAAGTTGTGAGTTCAGACTCAAGTAATGTTAAGCAAGTGTCGGTGACATGGGGATCAGATGGGTAGTCACTGGGGTGTGTCCTTGAGCAAGACACGGCAACCCTAGCTCAAAATACAGGGCGCTGCGCAGTGGCGACCGACAATGGCATGGTTGTAAACTGTCTGTATATGTGTAATATTGTGTACTTATATATGTATTTTTGCATGTATTTATGTACGTACGTATTTATAATTATGTTATTATATAATTATGTATGTATGTATGTGTATGTTTGCCATTGTAAACCAAAGTGCCCTCTGGAACAAATTATAGTGTAATTTATTTTATGTTATTTTCATCTTATTACGTAAGGAGGAAATGGGAAGTGGCCATTTGTACAGGTTATTATCTCTTACAGGTGGCCGTTAAAGAAGGTTCGAACGTATAATGATCTGCCCCATGATATGAAATCGGCCATTCACAGCTTAAGCTTAAACAGCTTTAAATTATGTAAAGTAACCCCACCTGTTTGAAAGGAGACAGCTGTTTGTTGATTCGACGCACTGATCCAGGCTGTATTTCATTGATCAACCTGTCAGAAACACAATAAATGAAAGTATTATTCAAGTGGTTTTCGTTTTAGTAGAGGTTTTACGGCGCTCGCAGCTGTATAAGGTCATATGAGAGCCAAGGGGTGGATGTGAACAGAGAAGTCCTTACAAGGAATCAGGCTTACTCTGCTCACCTCTCTAGCTTCAACAGCACAAAGTCTGCTTCGTCTATCAAGGCACCCCGGAAATAATGGGGCACAAGAGTGTGACAAACAAACAAAAGAGATAGAGGGAAAATGACGATAGTAAGGATTAGGAAAGAAAAAGCAGCAGTTCCCAGTTGTAGATCAGGCACAGTTATGAGCATGAAATTGATGAATCAGCCCATTTACAATTACCATTCTACTGTAATAAGAACATGGTTAATGTCCCCCCTTTGGAAACGGCCTAAAGACACTTCAGGGGGGTATTCAAGTGTAACCACTTTGATACATACTTTTGATTTCAAAGCTAACATTTTGGGACTTATGTTCAGAGACTGTTAGAAAAGTTCCTCGTCTTCGAAAACGCTGTCCACCGTTGAAGATTTAAACCTAAGTCGCGAGTGGTTGGAGGGTGCCACTGGTAGGTTCTTCCTCTTTACTCTGTCTGTCTGTCTGTCTGTCTGTCTGTCTGTCTGTCTGTCTGTCTGTCTGTCTGTCTGTCTGTCTGTT